ATTATCACAGACGTATTCCTTTTGTAGGTTGAAGCTTTGTAGAATCTCAATTAATTGCTTTTTGGTATAATCTTCGTGAAAATAAATGTCGTTATTATACATGTAGTTTTGGATTGTTGCTTTTGTGTCACATGAGTAAGGGGTTTTAGTCAACTGTAAGTGATAACTTGCATTGTCCATTACAGTGACAGGAGGAGGAATGTTTGGAACTAGTTTGTTTTAAAACCAAGCTTCAAATCAATCAGCGCTGGTGTCTTCATGGTAATCCAGAGAAGAATCTTTAATATTTTTTGCAGACAGAGAAAGTCCATTTGCAATCCAACCATCTTTAGAGCCAGCACCAAAATACTTATTCTTTTACCTCTTTTTGATGGCGCGTTTGTTTTACACTTATGAGCTGAGTCAACCCAACCCTTTTCCGCGGTATCATAAGTGTCGAACCAGGTTTCATCCAAGTAAATAATTGGCCTTTGTTGTTCTCTGTAAATCTTAATTTTTTCTAGATATTCCAGTCGCCATTTCTGAATTCTAAAAGATTCCATTAAAACTTGTCTTTTGTCAATTTTTTTAAATTTAAAACCCATGTATTGAATACACTTCCATAAGGTAGTTCTGCCACATTTAACACCGGTTTCATCTTTTTCAAGCCTCCTAATTAAGATATCTAATATAGGTATGCTTTGTTCCTCGTGTAACTGGTAAATTTTACGCCGCATTATATCTTGATTGCTTCTTTTTTTCCTCGCTGAAATGGGATTATTCACAATTCTTCATACAGTTGAAGTTGGAATTTTCGTCATTCTGGCCGTTTCTTTTAAAGATGCTTGCTTGCTGGCACCACGTGCAATGAGAGTCAAATAAAAATTGTTTATAACTTCCTTAGTCTCAATAGGATAGTGTTTTCTACATTTGGGCGGGAGTATCTCCTGAGACACACTAGACTCGCACATATTTTGCATAATTCTCACACAGTTCAACACAGGCGGTATGACACACGAAATAAGAATGATTACTAATAAACTTAAACTAAGTAGTAAACCAAAGCAAAGAATATTAAACACAGGTAGGTATAAAAATATTTTCTATTACGGGCCACAATTTTACCCGAAACTTTAGGTAATAATCTTATTAATGTCCATCCTTGGATAATCCCATTCAAAAACAATTGGTCACCTTCTTATGTCTATGAACAGACCATACCAACCTTCAATTTTGTTTTGTTTGTACTGATGAGACATGGATATTTGAAAATGGTACAATTCTTCTTGCCAAGATATTAATACAAAAACTGTAAAATTTCTGTGAGAAATTTTACTTACTTACCGACTAGAACGCTAGATTTTAGTTGTAGCTTATAGCACGTGGTATTTAAATTGTCTGATATATTGCATAACATTTTTTTGTTTATCAGTTTTTGGGTAGATTTTTGCAATACAGACGGGAGTAGAAAAAAGTGTTTCTCTCTCTCAAATGGATACGTTGAAAAGATGGCTTGGCGCAGGGGAAAAATTCTGTTATCCCTACTACGTAGTCAGTCTATACGGGTATACGCCATGCAGTGCTCTTGTTACATAAGTATTTTGTTACGTTTTGCTCAAATAGTGTTTTTTTTGTATCTATAAAATCAGAATCCTAGAATAACTGGTTCAAAATAATACTGAGAAAATTTTAACAGCATCAGTCAGTCATAACATAGTTTGTCGTAAGTGAATCACAGATACCACATTTCCTATACATTTATTCATGGGTTTCTTTTATTCGCTATTTACGTCAAAATGAATATACACAATATACTCGTCTTGCGCCTGAGGTGGAAGCGTTATATGACGAAGTTGATATTTTCTACCATGAAAAGGGTGGAAGCTAGACCAAATCGGTTTTGAAGAGCTACAGAATGAAAACGAAAGCGAAGAAGAGCAGGTAGAAAGAACCTGTTGAACATGAGTCATCAAGCAATGAGTCCAAAGAAATAGCTTGTACATCAGGCAAAAGGAAACGTGGTCGCCCAAACTACTTACGCGGGAAAAATAACTAAAAATGGTCTCTCAACATACATACCCGAGAGCCGGGGTAAAAAAACTCATTTGACATATACCCAAAATTTCGAAAATTATTGTAAAACACACAAATGAAGAAATAAATCGAACAATAGCAGACTATAATAGAAGAAATATTCATATAAAATCACATCATAAAATAGTAGATATGCACGAATTAAAAGCCACCACAGGATTAATGTATTTTTCCAGTTTACAAAAGATAAATCACACTAATGTAGATTCATTATGGTCATTTTATGAAATGTCTCTGTTCAGAATTACAATGCCTGTAAACAGATTTAAATTTTTAATTTTATGTATTAGATTCGATGATAAGTAAAAGAAAAACAAAATAAAATAATTGCAAAAATAATATCAGCCTGATTCTAAATGCACTATAGACGAACAATTGCTCTCTATTCGTGGCAGATGCCACCAGATAAGTACAATCTTAAAATTTTAACATAAAATGATTTTACAAGATACTATTTATTCAATATGTGAATTTTTTTTAAGTAAATATCATTTGACGATGGTTCGGACAATTAATAGAAATAAACAGGAAATTCCTGCTAGATTTAAAACTGTAAAATCCAAAAAAGGTAAAATCTGATTCGCATATACCGATTACAATTTTTTTTTATCGTTTAATCTTAGAGGCAAAAAGAATGTATTATCATTGTCTTCTTATCATCGTAGTGCTCAAAGCAATTATGAAACTGGAAAGCCAGAAATTTTAATGTTTTACAATAAGACAAAAGAAAGTACTGACAGTTTCGCTAAAAAAATGTCATGAGTTTACGACTGCTTGAGATGGCCAATGCCCTATTTTTATGGAATGCTAGAGCAACCTAATATCAATTAATTCATTATTTATAATTTAATAGGTAGTAATGAAAAGATATCTCGTAATAATTATATTTCAGATTTATCTTTATCTCTCATTACGCAATTATTAATAAGAAGACTTCAAGTACCTGCTTTACAAACGATACTACGCTTTCTTAGAATATAAGGATTAACCTGAAACTGAAGATCCGGGAGATTTAATGGCTGAAAATTAACTAGAAAAATATAAACTGTGTGGATATTGTCCTAGTTCATTAAACCGACCAATATCGCGTATTTTGTCTATTACAACTCTTTCTTGTAGTGAGCGAACTTTCATCAGTCCATAAAATATTTTTCAAAAAAATTATTGTTCTCAGTATGTCTATTTAAAAGATCCAAACAAAACTGCATCCTCTTGTAATATTGTTTTGCACTTAGTTTTGAGTTTCAGTGCACTCAAGTTATGTTTTACGAAATTTAAATGCATTATATTTATATTCTTTCAAAACTAAGTGGATTGATCCTCGAGAAATTCCTATCTTTTCATATACTCTAGTAATAGAGGAAAATGGATGTGCTTCATAGAATATGTTTGCTATATTTTCTTCATTTAAAACATTATGATTCCGGCATACCTTTTTAGCATTTAATACGTTTTCTGCAAATTTCATTGCCAGCCTTGGAAATATCAGTTTTGAAGGATCTCAGCGCTCTAGATAAAGTCTAATATACTGACGACGAGCCGCGGTTGCTCTTTTATTAGTCAGAGAAAGTATACTTGAAGCAAATCACTCCTTTCGCGGATGCTAAATTCACGAAAAACCATTTTAACAAGAATGACTTGGACAATGACTCAACCATCAACGTTCTTTACTAATATGTCGAACATAAACATATTTTTATTTGTCAGTCAGGAAACTCTTTGCATTATAAAAAAATTTCCTATTTTTCCAGATTTGTCAAAAACGAGTGAACTAAAATATAAAGTGTGTTACATCATTGTAATCGGAATACGATATTCTATTAAACACATAATATATGTCAGAAAATTGATAGTTTTGTTTTATATGTCACATGAAAAAAAAACTTTGCTACTAACCCAACATTTTGTTTTTTTGTTTACCTTGATATCTCTAAAAACAAAAAGTTACTGTCAATTAAATTGTTATCAAGATAAATTCAACGCACGGTACCTCATTAAACAGACTGTCCCAATTGCTTTATACTTAGAATAGACCTATTGTAAATATTTCCTTCTTTGCAATGACTCCCCATAATAAAAATACCTATAATAAAATGGCACAGAAGGAAAATCTGCGTTTCTGGCTGACGGATATAAGTATTAAAATGTATTTAAGTGTGAATTTTAACCAATAATATATATAAATATATAATTAATACAGTTGCTTTTTTCTGGGTTAGTGGATTCATCATCATCTCCGCATGTCAAAATTGGAAAAGCTCGTGATGTGCCACAATATAAATGTTTGCATTGAAAGTGGACTCCAATAACAATAATTAAATAAATGGATAAAACTGAAAGAACAGAAATTTAGTATTTGCATTTAAACTAAAGATATTTTGTTCGGCGAATTAAGAAATTTCGATTTTCGGAGAAAGTGAAATATTGTCTTAGTGACAAGAAAATAGAAAAAAGAAAAATGGGATATTCGCAAATATCAAAACAAATAACTAATTATAATCCAAATAGGGTAATATGAGTGCGCAATTTATTATACTTGTATTTGCTTTTACCCACTCGAACACACCGATGAAGCGTTTCACTTCAGACGTCAATTTCTTTAACCACGATTACGATCCACTCGAACTTTTCCCGTACTTGAGTCATGCGTTTGCCACTGATGGTATTTTGAGGTTTTTCGGTTTCTATGGACATGTCACTTAGTAAATGTATTCGTAACGTTTTGCCAAAAATGTACCCAAGAAGAAAAAAAGCATTTTCAAAAATTTCCATTATTTGTGGATATCTTCTCAGTATTTTTTAATTCTTTTACTGTCAAACTCAAATTTCATTTCATGGACATATTGAATACTTGGAATTGGGTAATTCAGATTGTAAACTGTAAATTTATGTTGATTATTACGGGTTATAATAAAAAGTATACTTACGATTAATATCTAGTGTGACGGCACTTGAAATCGGAGTAACGAGATTGTTGTTGGAAGCTTGACACGTAAAAACCGCACCTAAATGTTTTCTTTCTAACTTCTCCAAATGCAGCACGTTACGCACGCGGCGTTCAGATAAAAACTCGAAGGAGTCGTCGAGAAGGGCGTTTTCCTGCCACCACGTTACTTTTGGAGGAGGCCGGCCTGAAACAGGTACATTTACATATTAGAGAATAAAGACAAATCTGGCAAAAGAATTTGGATTAGAATTTTATTTTTAAGTTATACGCAAAAGAATCGAAAATTTTAGCCTCAGCTTTAGCATTGAACATAAATAAGGTAAAACAACCGTTCAAAAATTTCCCATTTTTGCAGTTAGATAATTAAATTTGCGGGTCGTAAATTCCAATCCCAGTCTCTTTACGCACGCAAGACGCCTAATAACCTATATATAATTGTCGTCAACGGATTTCACCAAATATTATTAAACAGTACGGAAGAGCGGCAATAAAAAATAAAATTGAGTAGCTCCTGAATGTATTTTTTTTTCTGTGATTCTACAATAGAGTAAATTCTGCAAAATCTAGATGTAAAAACCTAAGATTTCCTTGTATTAAAGTTTGTGTTAACACAAACCTATTTATAATATTGACTTGCGTATAAAACATTAAGATTTATAGTTTTGTTTTAAAACGGCTTTTGTGTAATAGTTGACATTTTGCATTGGTACAAGTGTAGTTCGAAATTTTAAATCTTATTACCTTAAGTGGACATTATTGTGTGTAAGTGAACACATTATTTTTACAATCAACATTAATTTGATAGTTGATGGTTCCATTAAGCGCGCATAGTCGGGCGAAAGTTTGACTACCCAATAACAAGTTATTAATTCCAAGCTTTAAAATTTTTCTGCTACTCCATCAGCATTTCTCTGCGTTGGAGTCAATTATTGATTAGTTCTTTTGAGTGCCAGTAGGCGTTACTGTCTTTCCACTCTAGTCTTTTTAGAACACAGTATTGGGAACCTTTTTTCTTGACAATCAAGAGATATTTGGACCTAAAGGCGAAAACACAGTATGTGGGCTACTGAAATGAAAGCGTTTGCTGGTTGTAACTCAATCCTTAAGAATGGTGTTATGGTAAAATTAATAACTGTAGGTTAACGTTATTTGCAAATGAAACTCTGACAGCTGTCAAAGCGAGTACCAGTTTTTATTCCAAGGGTCTTGAGTGAACCATTAAGAATTGGAATTAATATGCTTCAATGCAAATAATCTGGATCACAGTTTATATTTAAATATTATATTTTTTTCATATGTTAATATTTTTATATATGAGCTATCATGTACATACGTCTAATGAAAATAAATCATCTATCTTAAGTCACAACACTGATAGTTTAGTAAGCAATTGGTGGGCGCTTCCATCAAAATTAGCCACTCCCCCATTCCGCCGACGAGGAAAAACTATTTCTGGGACTCTCATAAAAATATATTATAACTTCTAAAATAAAATATTTCCGATAAAATAACAAAAAGTTAGAGCAATCGATTTTGTAACTTTTTGCGAACTTCAATCAGACATTTTCCACCAAACGGTGATTAATCTCCTGCTCACATTTGTTATTACCCGACAAGACGTAGCGAAAGGGCAGACCAGAAATTTAGCAGATTAAATCAAGTTAGCTCACGACAACGACAGGCAGATTAATACAGTATAATGAACGTTGACACTAATATGGCAGTCTTTTTTTTAACTTGACACACACAATACACATTTTGGAAAACATATTCGCTAAAATAGGGAAATATATCAAATATTCACATCTCACTCACAAATTTGTAACTAACGATAACGTGATTAGAATGTTCCATCCACTTTCAATGTCAAAGAGGGAGCCAAATACATTACAAAACGTGTGTTGGTACCGATGACAAGATAACATTATAATCCTATTAGCCTCCTAGAAATGGGGTCATTTTTAATCAGACCCATCAGCTTTATACGTTTTCTTTGATAGCCAGGAAATCAATCTACTGGGGAGGACGTATTAAGCCCGGGCCATTTTCAAGGGATTATTAACATTTAATTAACCAACCCTAAGCCACTTGCCTCCGGAATGCCCCACGTTCTAACTTTTCACTTCAAATTAAGTTAATAAAAGCGTCGTCCGAATTTGCTTGCGGTGAGCGGAACTTTTTTCCATTCGTAATACGTGTGCATCGCGACGTCATAGAATATAATTTGGACGTGAGCGGGAGAAGAAACTGAGCCCATTTCCTGAAAATTAATAACGCGTCGTACCTTTTTAATTGTCATATTATCAAGTTATTTTATTTAAGGATCCGCGAACACTATAATGAAATTAATTTTATCAAATTTATCAATCAAAAATAAGGGATGAGTAAATTAGGCTAATTTTTTTTCTATTAGATTAATAAAAAAAATGCTCTTTCGTGATTTCTCGGTTAATATTTATTAATTTTTCACGAAATAAAAAATGGCAGTTAGGAATATTTGTGCTATCGTAACAAAAAATATATTTTTTGGAAGAATTTTACAGAACTCGGAAGTTTTTAACGATAAGATTTTTACAAAACTTCTGGATTCTTCCTGCGTCGGTTTTTGCTTAGTCGAAATTGCTGACGTTGCGCCAATCATCCTGTTGACTTCTTCAGAGCTTGACTGAAACTGAAGAAGCCAACAGCGAAACGTCAGCAATTTCGACTCAGCAAAAACCGACGCAGGAGAAATCCAGAAGTTTTGTAAAAAGCATTACAATAGCCTGTGGAAGTTTCTTTGAAAAATTATAAAATAAACGTACAATTTTTGAAATAAAACCATTCATATAGCATTACCATCCAATTCCATTTTTCAAAAAGTTGTCATTAGAGAGCGTATAAATATATATTAGTTTTGTTTAATTCCGACAGTAAAAACTAGTCTTATATTCAAATTTTTCATATTTTGCTCAATAGAAAGTAATGACTTAAGCAATTGGACCCTGTAAATAGGGTAATAGGGTATAGGCGGCTTTGATATTTTTCCTAGAATCGAGCGATCTTCCGATCTCTGAAATTGTTGCTATTAGTTACAGTATCGATGTCCATACACTTAAGTCGAAAAGGGCTCAACTCGTGAACAAACAGCCAGTACTCAAAAGACCATGTCGAACGGAGACGCTGAATATCCATTCTAGCAATTCGTTGTTGCCGACGAAAGTTGTCCAGCCTTATCAGCCATAAGTATAACCTCCATATTCAATTTTTCTAGTATCTATATAGCAATATCAAAAAATAAAAACAAGAGTTATTAAAATAATTTTTCTATTGATATTCTTGCTCCGTTTAGATTTATAAGACCTTGCACCTATCTCTCTATCTATCTATCACAATTGTAAAATCAAAGAATCAAAAATATCCCACCGTGGCATTAGACTAATTTATTTAATCCGGAAGTGTAAAAAACAATATGCTATTCGGCAGCGAAATGCCATGGAACACAAAATATTGATTAAAATTTACATCAACTAAAAATGGGATCCTAGATAGCACGTGATATATTTTGCCCTTAAATGAGTATTCTGTTGATGGAATGGTGCGTTTCATGAAAAAGTAGTAGGCCATAGTAAACGAAGAATGTGGAGATATCGAAAAATATTCCATTATAATAGTTAATCGTTGTGGTTTTAATGAGAAGTTGTACTACCTAATAAACTAATTTAATGATCTATTTATTACCACGCACAGATTTCGTTCAAGAAAGTTGCCAAATAGAAAGGAAATAACTGAGGCTATATTTCATTTGAAAACATTCTTACCTCCAGTGGCGACGCAAGTGATATTAATGGACGATCCTTCATTGTAAGGTCCCAGCTGGTAGTTGGGGATATGCTGTCCGCTTTCGTCCAAAACACTTAACTGTTCCGGGGGAACTGTAACAAGAAAAGTATTATCCTTCATAATAAAAATCTTGAGCAATTCTTAGAAAACGGTTTGAACTTTTATCGTAAATACGTAGTTTCGTACGCTTAGCTTTTACAAATGTAAAATGGGACTGAATTAGGTTGAATGTAGAATGCCATTTTTTAGATATTTCGCAAAGAATATAAAATTACAATACTGGGAAGTTGTTTACTATTAGCTAAAATTACATATACCGTTACATTTAAAATTTGCAAAACAGCGCTCCCTGGTGCCTACTGCCAAATGCATATTATTATTGTTTAACCCACTCAGAAAAAAACACATCAAACCTTCTCCCAGTATTGTATGTTAGGAGGTAGGGCAAAATTTTTCAAACAAGGAAAATCCGAAATTCCAAGAAAAATTTGTGTAAAAGTCCTCTTTCCTTATTCGCAACATCCATCTAGCATCCATTTTAGGAATTAGGTAAAACATGTCCAATAATTTCTTATGGCCTCTTTGGTAATTTTTTTTATCTACAGGTGAGAAACTTTTTTAGTGGGACACTCAATACAAAAGAAATCAACTCGTTGTAGATTCAGATTTTGAGAGCCAGCCAGTCTGTCTGTCCATCACTGCGACCCAGAGGATCTATTGTGACTCTCTTCATAACTATACAGGGATATGTAGGTTCGTCTCTCTGACCAGACTTGACAGCTTCAATAATGGCTCCTTGGTGCAGCTTATTGCCTCTGACATAATATGTGTATGGCTGATTTCTCCTCTCCTTGGCAGAATCTGCATTCAGTGTTTTCTTGCACTTCCATATTGCTTAGATGTCTCTTAAGCCGGCAGGGGCCCACCAATACACCTACCATTATTCTTACGGCTTTTATTTTGTGGTTTAGCAGGTCTTCTATAAATTGGGCCTGTGGGCCTCTGAGGAATTCCCTGGCTTGTCTTTGTCCAGGCCTGTCTCTCCACTATTGCCAGGATTCTCTTTCCATCCATTGTGTGATGACTGATTTTGCAACAAGCTTGGCCACCCCACAGAAGGATTCTGGTCAAATCATTCACCTTGACGAGCCTTCACGAGCTACTTCGTTGGCGTTTTCCTCAAGTTTGTGGTCTTCGTGCCTTGGTACCCACGACACATTCTGATTTGCTATCTGGTTTAATATCTTATGACAATCCAGAACTATCTTGGATGTTATTTTGCAGGATTGCATATCTTTTATTGCCGCGTGACTGTTGCACAATATTCAATTGCAGTGATCTCAGCTTGGAACACTGTTGCCAATTTACCCACTGGTACTCGTTTTTTGATTTTTGAGCGGTCTATATACCCTTATTGATGGGCCATTTTTCCAATTTTCTATGGCCGACATTTGAGTATTAAAATGTTTAACACGGCTGTTGTGCTGTCCGTAGGCAGCCCTAGCCTTTGGACTGTATGCAGCGGATCTGGCTTCACTTTGTATATAGATCTGTTTGGTGGAATGTTCAATAGGACCTCTAGCGTTGCAGTGGGCGTTGTATTCGCGCAGGAATCACGATTTTAAAAAAATCTTCTTCATTTAATTGATAACTGCTTATATTCTTTCCCATCATTCCTCGAGTACATCAACAGCTGCTTTCTTTTTTTTTTTCAGTAGATTGAAATAATAAAAAAGAAAAGTACAGATTTTTCTTAAAACTTTATTTTTAAAAGACAGCAGCCTTTATTGTTTAATGGGTAACGCTTTGCATCCATAGAACCGGGTATCGTGTGTATATCTGCTACCAAAGGAAAATTTTAGAATAGATAGAAATCCCTAAACCGCCAAACAATCTTAACCGCGGCTCAGGTCGTTACCTTTAATGCTCCTCCTTTAGCTACGCCCCTCAAATAGTATATACGCAGGTATGGTCTGTTCATAGATATAAGAAAGTGATCAATTGCTTTTGAATGAGATTATCCAAGGGTGGTCATTAACATACAATGCAACTTACCTAAAGTTTCGGAATTTAAATTGTGGTCCGTAATAGAAAATAATTTTATACCTACCTGTGTTTAATATTCTTTGGTTTGGTATACTACTTAGTTTAAGTTTATTAGCAATCATTCTTATTTCGTATGTAATACGGCGTGTGTTGATTCGTGTGCGAATTATGCAAAATATGTGCGAGTCTAGTGTATTTCAGGAGATGCTCCTGCCCAAATGTAGAAAACACTATTCCATTGAGACTAAGGAAATTATAAACATTGTTTATTTGACTCTCACTGAACGTGGTGCCAGCAAGCAAGCATCTTTAGAAGAAACGGCTACATTGACGAAAATTTCCAACATCAATTGTATGGAAAATTGTGAATCTCATTTTAGCGAGGAAAAAAAGAAAGCATGCTGACATTTACTCGAGTGTAGATGAAAGTGACCAAGATATAATACGGTGTAAAATTTGCCAGTTATACAAGGAACAAAGCGTGACTACATTAGATATCTTAATTAGAAGGCTTGAAAACGATGAAACCGATGTTAAATGTGGCAGAACTACCTTATGGAAGTGTATTCAACACATGGGTTTTAGATTTTAAAAAATTGACAAAAGGCAAGATTTAATGAAATCTTTTAGAATTCGAAAATGGCGACTGGAATATCTAGAAAAAGTTAGGATTTACAGAGAACAACAAAGGCCAATTATTTACTTGAATGAAACTTTGTTCGACCCTTATGATACCCCGGTAGAGGGGTTAACTCAACTGATAAGTGTAAAACAAACGCGGCATCAAAAAGAGGTAAAACAATAACTATTTTGCATGCTGGCTCTAAAGATGGTTGGATTCCAAATGGAGTTTCTCTGTCTGCGAAAAATATTAAAGATTCTTCTCTGGATTACCATGAAGACACCGCCGCTGATTTATTTGAAAGTTGGTTTTAAAACAAACTAGTTCCAAACATTCCTCCTAATAGCGTCACTGTAATGGACAATGCAAGCTATCACAGTAGACAGTTGACTAAAACCCCTTCCTCATGTCACAGAAAGCAACAATCGAAAACTACATGTATAATAACGACATTTATTTTCACGAAGATTATACCTTAAAGCAATTAATTGAGGTTCTACAAAGCTTGAACCTACAAAAGGAATACGTCTGTCTGTTATGCAAAAAATCTAGGGCATACAGTTTTAAGGCCTTTATTTATTCTTATTTAATCCCATTGAACATGTTTTTAGTCGTGTTAACTCCAATGTCCTCAAACTTATAAAAATGGAAGTTTTTAACATCCCTCCATCAAGTTAGGCAAATTCTGTTAAACATATAGAAAACGCAGCAGCAATAATAAATAGAACAGGTGATGATAGCGATAGTGATACTGATATACCTATTATGTGAATAATTTTAAGAAATTTAAGTAGGTAATAAAAATAATTTGTAATTTTATTTTAGATTTAAACATAAATACATACATAAATAAATAAATCTTGTTTAGTATCTTTCCTAACAAAACCCCAAATAATTAAATTCTAAGCAAAGTACGGACCTGTTCGGCCATAATTCACTCTTACAGCTTGCCCGGGCCTTTCCTTAATTCGTATCAGTTAGTCACTTTTTTATATCTATGAACAGACTTTACAAAGTAGAATGCAAACCAGTTCAGTTAAGCTCTGAAGAAGCCGTCAGGATGAATGGCGAAAGGTCAGCAAGTTCGATTTATCAACAACCCACGCAGAAGGGAACCATAGGGTTTGTAAATAGGTTTATAGTAGGCTGTGGATTTGTTTTAATGTTAAATGTTCTTATGATTGGACTTGACAATGTTTATGACTTTTTTAGCTTTTTTGCCTTGACTCTTGTAAAACTTATGAAACAGTTTCGGCCAGTTGGTCAAGTTTTAATACCCCCACGTTTTCGCTTTCCTACTGTATAGTTAGAATGAACAATGACCCTATTAAAATTTTTAATGTCCCAGTCCTAGGTTAAGTACCAGTCCAAGGTGACTAGTAAAGTTAGTTTTGCTTACTTATATCTAATTAAAAAACCCAATAACGAATACCACCCAACTATAGTCTTACTATGATTGATAAGGTAATAACTGATGGAAAATGTTTTATTGGAGGTTGCAATGTTTTGGCAATTATTGTTATTTTACAAGGGTCAACAAAAACTATAGAAGAATCCTTATTAATAGGTGTTTAACCTGTGCATTTGTTCAAATATATATATATATATATATATATATATATATATATATATATATATATATATATATATATATATATATATATATATATATATATATATATATATATATATATATATATATATATATATGTGACACCCGCGTCGTCCGGCCGTGTTCGGGCGAGTGTTGGGGCCCTTTGGTTTTGGTTTGGTTTTATTACATTCCAAAAATCGTCGAAGATGTTTGCATATGTACTTAAGTAAGTTGGTAGGGATGGTACAGCGAAACATGCATTTTCGTTTGGGCGTGCCGAAGTGAAAGGAACAAAAATTTTAGTTTTTTGTGGTTTCGCGCTATGTATGTTTTAAAGGCTGTTTGTTTGCCTATTGGCTTGAAGTAATTGAGGCGGGATTTGCGTTCGTTATGATTTCTAGTCAGACGCCTTAACCGACAGGCCAAGACTAAATATGTTTGAAAATCGAACTATTTTTGGTGATGTGCCATGCCTTGGAAATATAAGAGAATTATATTTTTATAAATTTATGCACTCAATCAACAAATTGGACAAAATTTTCTAAGCGGAGCTGATAATTAAAAAAATTATGTATTTCAAGCAAAACTATGGTCGTTTGCAGTAAGTGGGCTTCGAACCTAGGCTGCCCTACAGAATCTGATTTCTAGTCAGACGCCTTAACCGACCGATTTTGGTTTATATAGGGAACTTTTGTTTTTTAAATATTAATAATAAATATTAAATGGATAATAATAATTATAAAATGAAATTCACGGCGTATATCATTTCCATACTCAATGAACCGTTAGCACTTTCGCGTTTTTACTTGATGTGGCGTAAATTGCTTGGCAAGTCAAGCCCCGGCTCTTTGGAAAATTATCCAGTCTAGCGTCCACTTAAAATACGAAGGTGATTCTCCGGGGGCACGGTTAACTACCCAACTTCGCACTATCGTAGTTTATTGGAGCAATAAAGTTTACTAAGTTATTAATTATCTACTAAATCAAATTAACTGTTGGTGAGGCCATTGAGGCAGTTTGGCAAAGCTGGGCGCTTCATTAAATTTAAAGTTTTTACACACATTATAAACGGATTTTCCTACACATAGCGGCTTGACATTGTTGTCTAATATGTGGCACGCGGTAATTCACTTAGAACTTACGACGAGGGCTAATAAGGGGCGCTAGTGACACGAACTGTCACAGCAATTTTACGTGCAAATACAAAACAATCATGTAAGAGAGAGTAAGAATATTAATTTATTAATTATTAAAATACATATCAAAACAAAATTAGCAGTACAATTCAGAAAGACGGTCAAAATTAATTGATGAAATTGATAAAATAATGAAAATCCCAATTGGTTTCTAAATGTGATTTACGGTATCGAATGAAACGAAAATATAGTATTCCGTTACATCGCCGTTTTTATGTGAATATAAATCGAAAATAATTAAACCCGTACGTACTAAAAACTAAATTTTATTCAAATTAAATTAATCAAAATACTGGCGACGACCGACGCGTTGCAGTTAATAAAAAGTAAACGCGGGTGTAGATCCGGGGCTAAATATTATTACGCAGTATTTGTTTTGGTATTTGGATAGCAGTTTATTCGTGAATTTTAATTGCAAGCGAATTTAATTGGCACGATCGCCAGCATGTTCCTTTCGTTTGACGACAATAAGCTAAACAAACT